ATAGTCAATCTGCCATCAGTGGTTCAACTGTAACGTTATGAAGCGACGAGAATACTTTGTACGTGAAGAAAACAAAAATAACGACTTTATTCAACGATTCGTCTCCTCTGTGTCTCTCTGCATCACTGTAGTGGCATTTTGGAGAATAACCACTGAACGCAAGCAGCATACGCTATTCTGTGTCAGCCGCGCTGCACGAATGCGCTGTTTTCATTCAAATCAAAGTGTAAATACACGTAGAAAACGTATCCTTGTGTCGCGGCTGACACAGAATAGCGTACGCTACTTGCGTTCAGCTATAGTGATGCGGAGAGACACAGAGGAGACGAATCGTTGAATAAAGTCATTTTTTTTCTTTGCGTACAAAAAGTATTCCCGTCGCTTCATGACGTTACGGTTGAACCACTGATGGCAGATGGACTATTCTGACGATGTCTTTCATACTTTTCTGGACCTTGACAGTGTTATTTACTTGGCAGCCAATCGGACAGTCACAAGCCTCCCGGTTTTCATCCAAAATATCTTAAATTGTGTTCCGAAGACGAACAAAGCTTTTAGGGGTTTGGAACGACATGGGGGTAAGTGATTCATGATAAAATTTTCATTTTGGGCTCAAGTAACTCTTTAAACCACTGCTTGAAGAAAAAGTAAAGCAAAAAAAAAAAAACTATTTAACTTCACTAATCAATCACTCAACTAATCTATCCTTAGCAGGGTTTAGGTAATTAGCATCAGCAGTTAGCCTAAGCTGGGAGATGACGTACTGTAACTTACAGTTATAATTGGTTTTGAAGATCATTTATGAAAGGACGCCACATGACAGTGAACTTAGACCCGGAGCCCCTTAAATGAAGTCATAATTTTTTCCAAACTCAGGAACTCTAATGCATTTCAAAGAAGGGGAAATTACTGTTTCCAATTATTAAAAATCAAGCACCTTGCCAAAAGAGAAGTAAAGGCGATGCAGTCCAATTCACTTTTTGACAAAGTGTTATTTTCACACACAATACCAAAGACGGCAGTTTCAGCATTTGCACAAACATCTTTACAAAATATTCTAGAATAAGATTTTTAAAAAATGTGACCAAAAAACAGACTAGGACATTGCCAAAACATATGGGTTAATGTAGCAGGGGACTGCTTATATCTTGTACAGGTTGGGTCAACAGAGGGATACATCTTTGCCAGCTTGACCTTGGATAGATGAAGTCTATGTACCATTTCATATTGAATAAGGCTGTGTCTAGCACAAATAGAAGATCCATGAATTCTATATATAGCCTCATTCCATTCCTCATCCGTCAGGCAGATATTAAGGACTAGTTGACAGGAATCTCTTTGGCAGTTACAGAAGTGGATAATAATGATACAAGTTTTGTATACAGTATAAGCCACAGATGGTTCCACTTTGTTCTGGGTCATCAGGAAAAAGTTGATCAATAGGGTTTTGTTCAGGAAGGGAAGGAAAAGAAGAAAAATGATTGCGTGTGAAATCACATACCAGTAGATATCTGAAAAAGTGGGTTTTATGTATTTTAAATTGAGATTCTAATTGGGCAAAAGACAAGCAGCCGTCATCAAAAAGATCTTTAAATGTTAAGAAGATACCTTTTTCTTGCCATAGAAAGAATGCCTGGTCATTCAGAGGCTGAGAAAATCTGAAATATTTGTGAATTTGGGCCCAAATCTGAATGAAGTTCCAAACCATTGGGTGCAACGATTGAGAGTCTGGACCCATCGGTAAGGGTGAAAATAGGAGAGCTGAAAGCGAGGAAGGCAGGCAGGCTGAAGGTTCTATCTGGATCCAGTCCAGTATGTGATTTACATAATGTGAACCTTGCCAGCAAGTTAGAGCTCCTAGGTTACAAGCCCAATGATATAATTGAAAATTTGGGAGGGCCATCCCACCCTGTTCTTTAGGGTTTTGCAGAAAATGTAGATGTATTCTGAGGGGGTTCTTATTCCAAAGATAAGCAAAGATTCTCTTATTTAAATGAGTAAAAAAGATTTCTTAATGTAAATAGGTGTAGTTTGGAACAAATATAAAAATTTAGGGAGCGTATTCATTTTAATTACGTTGATCCTACCAATCAAAGAAGTGGGGGGCTGCCTACTGCAAATGGGTAGGAGGAAAAATAATTTATATAATATTGATTGCAGAGGTGGGGGACTCGAGTCACATGACTTGACTCGAGTCGCAAATTTAAGGACTTGTGACTTGCTTGACTAAATAAAGAAAATGACTTGACTTGACTTGGACTTGAGATCCAGTGACTTGAGACTTGACTTGATTTGACCTTCATGACTCGGCAGGACTTGACTTTATAACAACTCTAATTATTATTATAAATCATTGCGACATAATTTGGTAAACAAAACGCAAGCCACTGAACCAGTGGCAGAAGTGATCCGAGTCTGCGCAGTTCATGACACTGCACGAGCACAATCAGGAACACAGCGCGCCAAATACAGGGAGCAAGAGAATCTCCCGAGATGTTTGGATAAACACTTCGAAACTGTATGCATTTGCTGTATGCATTTACAAAGCCAGGACGTCGGCACTTTTATAACATACGATATTTAGTAATATGTTCAGCGCTGCTGCCAGTTCCGTTCAGCCCACAGTTTAAGAGTTAAGCGCGTCTCTAAGCAATACTGAACGAATCCAGAGATTTGAAGGAACCGGTTGAGTGGTTCAGTGGTCCATTCTTGCTTGTTCATGAACGAATCAACTGTTTAGAATGAATCAGTTCAATGAACGCTTCTGTGATAAAGCAGTGATTTGCCACCACTTA